TGTGTTCCTTTCCCTTTAAACTGAACAACTGGAAAGTCCCATGCAATCCATGCCTGCTTCTCTGGGGACCCCATGGTCAGCCTCTCCTGTAAAGGGTCAGCCGTAACCCTCAGTTTCCTCTTCTCCCAGGCAGCCCTTCTTTGGCCTGGATTTCACATGGGCCCTTCCCATGTTACCTCCCAAAATAACCTCCTCTGTACGCCCCCCCCCCCCAGCCATATCACTTCACACATGCCAGGCCCAGCTCGGTTTTCTCAGGGCAGTGCTGGGGTTATAGGGGCCCAGTGAGCCAGCCAGACCTCCATTTGCCGTAACTAGCTCTGTTTTGCAGTCATTTGGACTCCAGGACCCCCTAAACCCAGCCTGCATTTGCAGGGTTCCCTTGCTCTCTCTTTGATGTAGCAGGACTGGCCTGGGAAAATGCTGATTGGAGTCTTTAGCCCCTCTTCTGGTCAATTGCTACCCACTCCCTAGAAGTGACAGCAGAGGGAGGGGGTGTGAGGCAAGAAGCCAAGAGAAAGATGGAATGGGAGATACAGGTGCTCGCTCTGACTTCCTTTGCACTCACGCACCTCCTAAGCACACATGCAGAGAGCAGGGTCCAAAGTATCCTATATAATAAAAGTGTAATATGAAAATCAACCAAACGGTGGAACGTCCTGTCTGTGGGGGGGCAGGGCAGGCGGTGCCAGCGGGCAGAAGGGAAGGGAATGCGGGGGGGGGGGGGGTGGGGGGTGGGGTGACCCCACGGTGGCCAAAGAGGCCATAAGGGGGGGCGGGGGTTTTGGGGTTTGCCGGTGCTGTCCCCAGATCACCCACTGGTAGCCTCCCACAGAGGGAGGCCAGACTGCAGCTTAGGCCAGTTCCCCACAGGGAGGGGGCCTAAGCCATCAGTCAGACATCCCCTGAGTACTCCTGGACTGCAAGAGGGCACAGGCCGGGCTGAGGGCCCTCCCCAGCCCCCGCTGCTGAGTGCACGAATTTTCATGCACCAGGCCTCTAGTCCTTTAATAAATAACTTGTCTATTCCTTACCCCTTCCATCAGGACCCTGGAACTTGAATTCCCACACCCTTATCTCTGGGGCCTCGATTTCCTCATTTGTGTAATGGGCAGAAGAGTCCCTACCTGTTAGGGTTGAGTATCCTATGAGGTAAGGTATCTGGCACATGGAGCCCTCAATAAATTAATAGCTGCTGTTTTTCTTGTCTCGTTATCTCCTAGAAGGGCAGCGGAGTTAGGAGAGAGACCTTGCCAGGCTCTCATAAGACCTTCCACTCCCGCCTCAGTCATCCAGTTTGCCTAGGCCTCTTTCAGAGTCCCTTCTTCCTCTCACATTCGGCCTGGCCATGGAAATTCCTCCCAAAGTCTCATAACATTCTTCATGTTGCTTTCTCAAGCTCTCTTCTCCAAAAGCTGTAGGTCAAGAGAGGGGCCCAGAGAGCTCAGGCTTTGGAGAGATGGCTGATGGAGGACTGCGTGGAAAGAGGGGTCCCCGGAGCAGCTGGTGCTGGGGTGGAAGCGGAGGAGGAGAGAGCAGGGAGAGGGAGGAGAGACAGCTCTTGGTACTGGCTTCTGGAGGAGGCTGGGGGTGGGTGGTAAAGCGTTTATGGGTAGCGGGGAGATGGCATGTGACTGGCTTGCAACCTTTGGTGCTGGGGTCTCCACGTGAGCTGCCATGGGTCTGTCTGTGAAGGTGTGAGTATGTTGTTTTGACTTTTTTATGCTAAGAGCTGAGTGAGTGTCTGTTGGGCTTGTGGGTGGAAAAGGTGTGGGTTGCTCACCCACAGGGCCGGGGAGTTGCAGAGCACACCATGCCTGCTCCTGGAGCCCTTCCTGGAATGAGTAAGAGTTGGAGCCCGCCTTTCCCAGCCCCCTCCCCCAGCTTGCACGGGCCTGTGCAAGGTGTCCTTGCATGTGCAAGTGTTAACGTCCCCGCTGCAGCCACAGCCCCTGCCGGGGGAGCAGTAGCTGTTCTGTAGGGTACACTTCTGGATCCATGAAATATTCAAGGCTACAGGGATGTGACTCAGTGGTGCAGTCACGTAACAGCTCCCACCTGCCCCGACCCTCGGAGCTGGACCCTGGGTTCATAGGCTGCTCCTGTTGCTCTCAGCACTTTCTGCTTTTATTTATCTATCCTCCCCACCCCCACAGCCTTCTCATGCATTATCACTAATCCTCACAACCCACCAGGAAGGAGGGCAGGTAGTATGATCTTTATTTTGCTTTTCAGGGGCAGAGTCCTGGAGAAAGGTCATACTGGATGGGCTGCCTGGATTGGGATTTGGGAGGTCAGAGTTCAATTTCTCCAATTGTCCTGGCCACTCTGGGGTGGTCACTCCCTCCCATCCCCAACACACACACACACACTGGTCTCAGTTTCCTCTCTTGTAAAAACTGGGAGCCAGAGGACTGCACGGGTTTCTTCCTGTTCTAATAATTTGCATTCTGAGTGGGGAGCTCCAGTCTCATAGGTAGGAAGTCTCAGAACCAGGATGAGACCCCAGGAGTCTGGGCCCTCATCTCCACCTTTGCATCTCTGCCGGCCTGGCTCAGGGGCAGGGGTGCGTTCCTGCGTGTTGAATACAAGATGCACACACTTTCCACCTGCACAGCTCCGAGGAGGGGAGGCTACCGACGGGTTTCATCCACCCAAAGGAGCAGGAGCCCGTCCAAGAGGTCCCCCTGGGGACCATATGCTCATGCCAATTTGCTGCTGTTTCTCCAGCATTTCTGGAAACTCTTGGAATCATCTCAGAGCCGGTGGCATATGCTGTGAGTCCTCATGGGGAGCACATGTCTGTCCTTTGGGTGGCTTTGCTCTTCTGGAAACGAGTGAGAGTCTTTCGGGGCCATGTCGTGAAGGCAGGAGGCCAGGTGGGAGCGGAACCTGATCTGAAGCAGGGGTGTGGGCACCCTGCAGGGATGCTCCGTGTCCCCGGGGACCCCAAGGCCCACCCAGAAGGCCTCTGTGCCAAAGTGTCCAGAGCTTCTTGTGGGCCCCAGCAGCACCATTAGCCTAGATGTGTGGCCTCTCAGGGGCTGGCTTGGAAGGCCCAGCCTCCTCTGACTGTCCTAGTAAGTCCTGGTTTGCCTGATAAGAAGCCCATCGTGGAATCCTGTCAGGCTTGGGTGTGCACCCCCCTGCAGCTGGCACTCTCGGGAATGGGTCCAGCGCTGGTGATTCAAACAGAGGAGATGCTCATTTCCAAAGTGCTTTGCCTCTTTTTTGAACCACAAGAAAGAGACTTAAAAATCAGCCAATCCAACCAGCTTGAGAGGGGAAACTGAGGCCAAGAGGGAGAAAGCAGCTCTCCCAAGGACTAGAACCTATGTTAACACTTTCCCACCAGATTTGGTGGCTATGGCCGGGCAGTGGCTGAACTGAAGCAGGGGCATGGACCAGAGGACCTCTTGAGATGCATTTTTAACCCTATGACCATCACCAGTCTAGCAGACCACTCCCCAGCTGGCCTCTAGCTAGTCCCTTCCACCCCGAGCTTCCTAAGAGGTTGAATTTATTCTTCCAACCAGTCCAGTGCTTATTGGGTAGTCACATGCGCCAGGCGTTATGTTAAGCACCGGGGATCAGTGGAGCACAAAACAGGTACAGTCTCTGTCCACTAGCATCTGACAGACTAGTAGGGGTCAGTGTGGAACAGGATGACTAAGTAATTATAATTGATGACTAAGCCATTATAAATTATTTAAAAAGTGGAAGTATAAGAATGAGGCACATGGAAGAAGGGGGAAGGTCAGCATGACCTCTGACTGCTCGGATGCATACTCCCTCGCCCGCCAGCTCCTTCCAGCACGGTGCCGTAGGCTCTGGAACACTCTGCTTGGGTTCAAATCCCAGCTCTGCCACTTAGTAGCTCTGTGATCTTGGGCAAGTCACTTAACCCCTCTGAGCCGCAGTTTCCTCACTTGTCA